GGCATAGTGACCGGGGCGATGACAATTGTAACAAGTTCGCTGATCTGCCACACACTCATCGGTGTGGTACTTGCCGCACTTCGGGCAGGTGCGGTTGCCAGAATGGCGTCGGTCTGGGGCTCCTCGTTTTCCCTTCTTCTTGTGCTGGTGATCGCTCTTCCTCTTGTTGGAGCTAGAGGATGGGGTAACGGTAGCATATGGAACCGGGTACTGGTAAGGCGCCTGGGAAATGAGCGGCGGCTGATAGGATAGAGGGGGCACGACAGGTGGTATTGCCTGGACAAGCTGTGCAGCATGATAGAATGAAGGAACATGATCTTTCGGGATGAGAAGGCTCTCCGCTACCTGAGCCCGACTGATAGTGTTGGCATAAGACATCGGACCGTGACTCCAAACTAGCTCACGGATTCTCGGATTCAGCCCTTTCAGAAACTTACTGGCCTTCTTCTGATCAGTGTTCACAGTATCACCAGCAAAGAGGCACATTCGGGTGAAAGTGCGGATGTATTCGTCCACGCTGGTCCTGCCCTGCTGAAGGTGGTAAAACTCGTGCTCCATTCGATCCCAGAAACTCTGAGAAAGAAACTTGCCTCGAACCATAGCCTTCATCTGCTCCCAGGTGAGAGCGTTAAGCTCCGCCTCTGGCCTCCGAGCCCAGTGGTCGATCCACCAGTCGGAAGCATCCGCCTTCATCTGGAAAGCGGCGAGAGAAACTCGCTGTCTGTCCGGGAGAGAGAGCACGGCGAAAATCTTGTCTTGCTCCTTAATCCATTCCAGCACTGCGGTGGGGTTCTCAGTCCCCAAGAAGGTAGGCGCATGCATGTTCTGGAATTGGACTAAGAGCCTGGTAAAGTCCATGGCCGGAGGGGCCTGGTGATGATGATGAGGCGGGGAAGGAGACAGGGATGGCTGTCTGTTGCGGTTGTTGCGGTTATTCATAGCTCTACATTGAATAGGCCGAATAAAATTTAGCACATTAAAATAAATAAGGAAGTCTAGAGTTCGCCATGAAACACTAGAGTTCAAATCATTTAAAGGTGGATAGATCCTAAGCCCCGATTTCAAAATTCATCTCATAAGCAGTTTCATTACTACTTAGGCAAGAATACAAGAAATTACATTTCACATTATAAGTATTTTCATTGATACTTATATAACCACATACCTTAAGCAGCGCGGCATGACGAAGACGAGTGGTCGTAACATAAAATTTAAACACATAATCATATATGAACCAGTCTATAGAAACGCAGATTGGCTCTGATACCAAACTGTAACGCCCCACTTTATCTTAAAAGATTTATCGAATTTATATAATAAAAATCAGAGTTAATTTTTCGCAAATCTCGATTAAGTTTAAAATTCAATGGGCGCTACCTATTTTTCCAACAACAATTTATCCAACATACAGTTAGATCAGAATGAACCTACACTTTTATCAAGATTCAAAATATCAATTAAATAAAAGTACAATCTAAAGGTTCAAATCCGTCCAACACTTTTCCAAAATCAACTAGTTCAAACATGCTCAACTAAACCATAATAAGTTCATAAATCCAGAAATAAATAATAATCTTAAAAGCAAGACCACCCACTCGCCTTGCCTCGTCACCCGCCAACTGCTTAACCTGCATCCGTGAAGAGCAAGTGGGAGTGAGTACAGTTGGAAAATATCGTACTCACACTATGCATATGAATAACATAATATTGGCATGGTCGCAGCATGAACATAAACAATAATCACATCATGTCTCATCTCCTAATCAATATCACACCATTTAACCTTACTCCTGTGCACATCTATCGCTAGCCGCAGAACGGGAATTCATTACCCGAAGGTGGGAGTACGTGCTGCTGTAACGGACACGACCTTCCATATGGGCTTATGTACCTCACAAGGGCACGACCATATCAGGACTTATGGAGATTTCCACATAAGGGCACCGTACTGTAACTCGATGGGGACAACCGTACCGACGGCCGTAACAACTCACATCGATAAGCTACATGTTTACATGCATACATAGATCATACCCAATTTTCAACACAATTACAAACAGACATATGCATAGATAATTTTAGAATAACAACCCACCTGGATGTTCGGATTGACGATAGCAAAATCAGAAAGGACGTAGGTCGAGGCTTGACTCCTCAAACACCTACATTAAGTCAAGATCCTACAATCAATATCTTGACTTAGACGGAAAACACAAATCAGACTTAGTCGAACTTGATTCAACTAAGTTGTTCGTGAAGTCCTGTGGACGTTGGAACACTTAGACTCCGCACTATACTCAACCAAATCACACATGGGGAGTTCACATAAGTCAAACTAATGATTGACCAAGTCAAGCAAACAAGAAACGAAAAGCGAGTCAATTTACAACTTTTAACACAAAAACCATATTTTGCAAATAATAATTAATAAACACATAAAACTAGTTGGTCAGGTTGCCCTATGAATTATACTCTAAAATTGTAACCAAAAATATAATTCCCAGTACTTAGCAAAACCACCAAGTTTCAGCCTCAAATTCCAAATACATGATTTTATAAAATTCATAAAAGATAAACAGCAAAAAAAAAAAAAAGAACATAAATTTACATCTAAACCTAATGAATGAATCATGACTTGATATTTTAACACCACAAACTAAAGCATGAGAGTAACAACATATAAAAATCTCAGCCCTGGACATTAACTGTACTAATTTTAAAACTTCATACAAGTTTCAGCCATTATCGAATTTCAATTAAAACTAAACCAAATTTAACTCCAAAAATTCTCATCTTTTGACAGCATGAAACCACACATAAGAAAAGTATCTCAGCCAAATATAAGAATTTTTGAACAACTATCCAATTTATCATAAATAAAACAACTTTCTGCAGAATTCAGAAAATAAATTATTTACCCTATTAAACTTAGTCCAAAAAATCTAAAAATTTTACACACTATATAATCATAACAGAGGCATAACATAATCAAATTTCAGCACAATTAAAACACGGACCAATTTATTATGCATTTAACAGTTTCTAACCAGAAAACACTTTATTTATTTAAAATAGCTACAGACCTTTAAAAGTTATGAAATTTTTACACAAGCCTGACATTTAGCAGAAGACAAAACCCTCAAAATGTCCATGCAATCCGAGCAGTGTGCAATTTTTAATAATTTTAATACTAAAACAACATATAATCGAGCTCGACAATTTCACACAAAATATTTAACATGTAATTCTCGTCCGAGGCCTTCCCATAAGGCCAAGGACTTGACATGGTTACAAAATCCACAGACTTGCACAATTTTTGAGGTCTCGCTCGATTCCTTAAAATCGAAGAGATCCCGAAAAATACACACAACACATTAAATCACAATTTCACATAATATCATATCGCACACATTAATCGCATAGTATTCACATCACGTCATTCAAACACAATACGAAATCAACATATATACGATTTCACGAGATGGGGTTCAACTAGGTACAGTTCTAGGGAAAAGCTCAGAAAAACAGAACGAAAAGGGGAGGTCCGAGCTCTCGGTGGCTAGTGGCGGTGCTCGGCGGCTTCGCTCGACTCGCGAAGGAGAACAGCGGCGGAGGAGGGTTCGTCGCTTCTTCTGGTCATGGCCAGAGGTCGCTCGTCGAGATGCTGTTCGAACGGAGAGTCGCCGGAAAGCTGCGCGAGGAGGTTGTGCGTGGACGGGGACTCGCGATGGCTCACCGGAGTTGCTGGGCTGCGGCGAGGATCACAGACAGAGAAGGTTTCGTCGTCGGGGCTCGTGGACTGCTCGCGGGAGGGTCGAATTCGCCGGAACTTCTCGAACAGAGGTCGCCGGAGTTGGAGCTGGCTGGCCGCGTGATGGTTTCGCGGGTTGCTGTTTGCCCGCGCCTGGTTTATCCCGTCGAGAAAAGGTGATGACGACGGGATGGTGCGCGACGGAGGCGTCTCACGAACAGACAGAGACGAGAGGGAAGGTGATGATCGAATGATGAAGGTGATGCAATCGTTTTTGAGCGAGAGAAGGAAAAGAGGGCGATCAGATTTTGTCTTACGACTGCGGCTTATGCGAGAGAGATGAGCGAGATCTCAAATTCGGAACAGAGAAGAAAAAGCTGCGGGATGTCGACTGAAGAAAATGAGGGAGCGTACGTTTTAAAAGAGCTTAGGGTTAATTAATCTTTTCTTAACCCTCAAGACACACACACTCACACATGGGGCGAACCGGGTCGGGGCGAGAAAAACCGTGTTCGGCTGAATCGGGACCGCGGGTTCGAGGGGGTTTGAGTCGAAGGTTCGGTTCTCGCGGTTAACTCTCGGGCTCGATAAATCGCACGCTAAATAAAAAAAACTGACAAATAAATAAATTGCACATATATATATTTAAAATAATAAAAATGACAATAAAAATAAGAATACACATTTAGGCAATTTATTACATTTAGACAAATAGTAAAATTTAGACATTCATTAATAATAATACTAATAATAAATACAATAATGATAATCAGGTAATAACAATAATAATCACAATATTCACAATTAATAATAATAATAAAAATCTCAAAAATCCACAAATAAACAGGGCGCTACAATATCAGTGACGTTTCTTATAAAACCCAACAATTGGTATCAGAGCCCAGGCTTAATTCATCTTTGTGCACAATTTGAATTAGGACTTATGTGCATACGTGAATGATTTGTGTACGGACGCAACACATAGTAGATTAGAATTGCAAATAAATTTTTTGTAGGTATTCTTAAATCCGTCTATTGTGGCCCGAGTTTATGTTTTTAATTCATATATTCTTTATAAGTCTCGGACATGTCGAGAAGTTTTCGGTTGGTCAATGCTTGTAATAAATTACTTGCGCGGTGGGACACCACATAGTTTAATTGCTTTACTAGATCATTCATGTACGACTCCTGCGTGGATCATATATTGAATTACGTAATTGTTTATAGTATTCAAATTGATCTGACGGACATGAACAAGCTCGAAGAGACGAGGCGAGCCAACCACAAACCCGCGATTGATAGCGTTCATGGTGCGATGTACACGCGGGCACGCTCGCCAATTGCATGCTTGATGAAGATCGTGTATCTCGATACTTGGTTTGCTTTGAAAGTTGCTTGCCACGGCTTCCTTCTCGGTGATAGGTTGCTTCAAAGGATGCTAAACACCTCATTCTCGGCAATAGTTGAGACAACTCGGACGTTAATCCTTGCCAAACTCGAGCTTATGGCGAACTATGCAGTAGAACGCCCTTTTCGACATAAGGATTTTGCATTAAAACTCGAAAAAATTATAACACAAGAGATTGATGACCAAATGATCGGTTTTCGTTACTTCATTGCTTTTATAAAATTGAATGAGTACATAAGTATTTAAAGAAAATAAAAACTAAGCATGTACTAGTCATAATAGGAATCAAATACTAATCTAATGCAAACTATGAAAACTAAATATCTATCCTAAACTTCTAAAATAACTAAATTCCTAATAAAATAACTCTGAGTCAAACTAAATAATAAACTCCATAGACTAACTAAATTTCCTAACGAGCTATACTCTTTCACGGAAACTAAAAAAATACTAAGACTAAAATGAATTACCTAACTAACTCTAGCTATTAACTAAACCAGTTTTGCTGTAGAGCCTGTTGACAACCGACCTGATTTGCCAAGATTAGAGAGAAGATTTGTGAATGTTATCCACAGCTCATCTTCTAGCTCATTTTATATGACCAACTTAGCTCAAGTCGGTACAAGTAAGGTGGCGAACCGACTTCGCACATAAATATGAACCGACTTCACTTATGTCGGTAAACCGACCTCACGCTAACGACAAATAACCGACTTCTCGTAGATTCTTTCTTGAAGATTATCTCCACAAACCGAGGTCCGAGGTGACCAAAGTTCAAAGCAACTGACAAAGCATGCATGTGATTGGGCCACATATTACATCTGCAGTCATTGTTGTTCCCTCATTGACCTACAGACTGATTCAATGAAGCTACTCAACAATAAATGCGATCCTATCTATCTCGTACGAAAAGTCAGACACACAGTACTATGAATAGCAGAATTTATTATTGTACGGGGGATCGTTTTTTCGCACATTGTACACGCATACAAACACTGTTCTGTTTTACATAATACTGACTCCCTGTAATCAGCAAAAACACAAAAATAATACAAAGTTTACATCTTTTTATGCTTTATAGTTTATCATCGTTGTTAAATTTCATACAACAACAAAGCCATCAGATGGTTCGACTTATGAAGCCATCCACATTTATTCACCAATAGTGTATTGACACGTGTACTACAATAAATACACTTTGGACATGTGTCAATATATTAATTGGTGGATGAATTCATAAGAAAACCATCCGATGACTCCATAGAAATATTGTTAACTAAACATCCTAACAATTAACTAAAAAAACTCACGTGTATAATAAATATATAAACTACCTAACATGCTCATGCCACTAACCTAATAATTATATCATGACATCTAACACTTATGCTAACTTATTTAATTACTAATTAAATAAATATACTAACAATAATAAACTAACTAATTAACTAATAAATTTGCCACAAGTCTTCTTGAAACTTCGCTCGACGGGTCACGTTGTGTTTGTGTTTGAACCGCATGTCGCGCACCATGTGTGATCTTCTAGCGTGCGTCCTCCTATTTGAACTCTCGCTCGTCTTTTCGGCCAAGCGTGCATCTTTTTCCCCTTCGCGCGATCTCACCTAGTCGCTTGGCTCTCGTCTCTTCACGTCCATGGGCATCGAAATCTCTATTCTCATCAATGATGACAGGCGCGAGTGCTGCCGAGGCATGCTGATGAGACTGGAGGTTCCGAAGCCCATGAACGCCAAGGGTCGAGAGGAGATGCGATCGAGCAAGGCCGCATGAAGGCGCGAAAGAATGCATGCATGGCCAAAAAGACGAGCGTGAGCTCGAATACGAGACGCACAAGCATGAGGAAGGTGCCGCGAGTCGTGGACATATGCAAGGAAAGATCGCGCGAGGGTGCGGATTCGAGAAGGTCGCGCATGGAGGTGTGCATGGACTCCAACACAAATCTGGACTCCCCTTCGGCCCACAAGTTGCAGCCCAACCCGATGAACCTCAAATCCTCCTCCAAGCACACCAACGGTGAGGAAGGCCGGAGCCAGCGGCCGGTGAGGGACAGAAAGAAGCCAAATACTGCCCACAAGCTGTAGCTCGGCCCGATGACCCTCAAATCCTCCTCCAAGCACACCAACGGTGAGGAAGGCCGGAGCCAGCGGCCGGTGAGGGACAGAAAGAAGCCAAATACTGCCCACAAGTTGTAGCTCGGCCCGATGACCCTCAAATCCCTCTCCAAGCGCACGGTGTCGATTTCTCATTTCTTTCTTTGTAAAGTGAGAAAATTTAGAACTAATGAATCAATGGGGTTTTTCTTTTATACTGCAAGTGTGAGTTAAATCACATGTTTGAGAGGTTTTTGGTATCATATTTTTTTGGGTGTTTTTGTTGTTGTTTTCATTTTATGATGCTTGCTTACATATCTGTCGAAGTTCTCTTGTCTGAAATTTGCATGTTAAACTTGCTTGCTCAAATGTGAAATTGATATCGAAGGTCATCTCTCTTCTTGTTATGCGTACACTGGACGAAACATATCAATCATACATGTGAACTCTCATATCGGTCATATATGTGTTTGATAGCTATGAATGCTGGTAGTGAATCACACATTGAATGCTGCATGGTGCTTTAGTAAGCGTGTCTTGTCAGATAAGGATCTTTCTGAAAGGAAATTGGTTGACGTGTCTACTATGTCAAAGGTGACTGATACGATGTACGATCTGATACGCAAGGCACAGACCAGGGATGATTCTTACGTAAGTGCATTATTGGATGTTGTTGTGGAGAAACACAAGTCTACGACACTCGATTTACTTGAGGGAGTTGAGCTGTCAAATTTCTTGGCTCGATTGCATGAGGACATTAATAACCTTAAGTCAATGCTGCGTGCGATTTATATTGGTATGGTTTTTTCTTTTGCTTTTCCTCTGTTAATGTCTAATGCTTGCTGATTATGAAAAAGGCATTCTTCATTGTAGTGCATCTGATTTTTATGTGAACTATCTATGTACCTGAGTGTTTGATATCATGTTTGTGGACTATCTATGGACCTAAGTGTTTGATATCATGTTTGTGGCCTCTTGCTTACAGAAGAAGAAAAAGAAGACCAAGTCAAAAATTAGTTATTTGTCTCCTAGTATTTAGATAACATGAAAACGAAGGTCATTTTTTCTTAAGATTTTTTTTTTTATTTGTCGTTGTAGAACGGGGTAGAATACACTTGCATGGACACAAGGTCCTTATTGTAAACCCGACAAGTTCTAATAAATTGGATCCAGATTATCTGGAGTCGAGCCGAAAGCTTGAGAAGTGGTACGCTGAAACTAAATGCGACACAATTGTTGCAATAGGGTTTATTGCCAGTACGCCTAAGAAGATTCTTACACCTTTAAAGCGTAGTGAAAATGATTTTTCTGTTGCAATTATGAGGCATCAAATTTCAGGGCCAATCCATTAATGTCAAATTTTAAGGTGTGATTGTCTGATTTACAGTTCAACACATTAAGTTATTTAAGTCAGCAAGGTTTATTATTTTCTGCACTTGATCTCATGCAGACTTCTTTACCTAAGTTTAAATTAAGCATACTTGTCTGTAGCACAGTTTTGATCTTATCCCTTTTACTATTTAATATTAATTTAGTTACTTAAACTATGTTATCGGTATAGATTATAATTTTTAATCACATTGTATGCAGCTTCAACACGTGATGATCAACCTTGGGGAGAAATTAAGTGATGAAGAAGTTGAGCAGATGGTTAGGGAGACTGATTTGGATGGAGATGGACAAGTTAACTATGATGATTAGGGAGACTGATTTGGATGGCATCGCAGTGCGTCAGAAGCACCATGCAAATCCATCCATGAGGTATAATGCCCGATGTGGGCGTCGGGATCCGAGGTCCCGTCATATAGAACGATTACAGGAGTTTTGATTTTGCCAGGTAACGAATCCGACGTAATCTCAGGTGCCAGGAGGAATCAGCTTCCAGGTAGACACGTTCTGACGTAGAAGCTCTTCGAGGAGATTCTTCTTGTTCCTTCTGCCAAGTTTCCATTTCGGCAATTTTCTTACGCAAGACTTGCAACTCAGCCGACTCTTGTCTTGCGAAACGACTTTTTTCAATCTGCTGACGGGTTGCTGCAACAACGGTCGTGTGGCGATTGGGGGTCTTTGATGCTAACCTGAATGGATTTTGGCCGTCATTTCTAGAAGATTATCCACCGGCGATGCTATCGTATCTGGTTGTACCACAACTTTTTCTCTTTGCGGTTGCGGGGAATTGTTATGCAGCTGTGAAGTAGCATGTGAGGTGGCCTCACTGTCGCTGCGGCCCAGAGTGGACGACGCTCATGGCTTCGCAGGGGTATCATGTACGACTGATTGCTAGGACTAGCATGGAAACCCCTGGAATCATTTGAGCCATGAGGGTAGAAAAACCCTTCACGAATTCTGGATTTTGAAACAGAGCCGCGAAATCTGGTGTTGCCGGCATCATGTTAGTTCTTCCGGAAGACTGAGCTGCGTCGCGATTGTTGCCGGCCCTTGAGGTCTGATCATGTTGCCCTGATTGAGACATGATATTTCGTTTGAAGCATAAGCGAGTGAGATATGTGACACACGTTATTTTTTTTTTATTTTTTTTTCTAATTGAAGATTAATTCCAAATCACTTATGGAGTCCTTCCTCTAGCACCAAACTTTGTTATGCGAAAACTAACAACTATAATTGGATTTCTTTGATGTGCTTGGCTTTCAATAACTTATCCACCTCAACCTATATGGCTTTGCCGATTTCGGCTCCGTGGTGTCTTAGCCGTTGTTTCACAGGTTTTCTCAAGGGGTCGACATTAAGCTTATGTTCCATAACCTCCGGGTCGATCCCGGTTAGTTCATTAGGGGAAAAGGCAAATATATCCCTGAATTCTTTCAGCAACTCCACCAATTGTTTCCGCAACTCGCCCTCGAGCTCCTTCCCGACTTTGGTGGTTTAATCTTCCTTTTCTCCGATCTGGATCTCCACCAACTCTCCATGCGGCTCTAGATCACTCCCTCTCGGCCTCTTCTCACTCGACATTGGTTTCTTCCCTTCTTTGATTTCAACTCGTTGGTTGGTTCTCACCGCTATTTGGTAACAAGTTCTCGACAGCTTTTGATCTCCCCTGGCTTCTCCTACTCGATCTCCGACAGGGAACTTCAGCTTCATATGATAAGTCGACACTACTGCTTGGAAGACATTAAGTGCTGGCCTCCCAAGAATCACATTGTAAGCCGACTTGACGTCGACTACCATCTTCACCTTCCTCAAGTCGCCTTCCCCCAGGACGATAGCAAGCGTAGTTTCTTCCAAGGGTCCGACCTCCAATCCCTTGAATCCAAAGAGTGATGTGTGTAGAGGTGAGAACTCGATGTCGAGTTCCATTCTTTGGAGGCAATCGTAAAAAATTACATTCACCGAACTTCCTATGTCGACAAACACTCTTTGAACTTCATATCCTAACACTTCGGCTGCTATCATCAGGGCATCGTTGTGTGGCCTTTCGACTTCTCCCACGTCGGCAGGCCCAAAGTTCAGCACTGGTCCATTCTCATCGACCTGCTGTACTTCGACTTTTGCATACCGTCCTCGAGCATACGCCTTCCTTGCTCGATTTGAATCTTCGTCTGTCGACCCTCCGAATATCATGTGAATCACTTCCTTTTTCGTGGGGAGCTCCTCTTTCTCTGGCGATCTTGCCCTCTTGCGAGGACTCTTGCTTCTCTCCCTTCGCCTACTCGACCTCTCACGGTCCTTGTATATGAATTCTTTCGAGTGCCCCGCTTTAATTAACCTCTCGATCTCGTCATTGAGGTGTCTACAATCGTCAGTGTTATGTCCATATTCTTTGTGAAATCGACATTACAAATTGCTCTTCGGCTTCATTGGTCCATCTTTTCTCGTCCTGGGCCATCGCACCACGTCCTCACGAATTTTTCCCTCCATAACTTCTAATATTTTTGCATGGGGAGTCGACAGGGGTGTGTATTGAATCGGCCTCCATCCCTAGATCGTCCATCACCTCTATCTGCTCGCGGGGACCCTCTCCTTTCCCCCACCGAGTGAGATTTCTTCTCCTTCTTATCGTCTCGGCTTTCTGTCTGGGCTATCTTTGCATTTTGCAGGTAGTGGGCCTCAGTTTCCTCGACGTTCATATACTTCGTGCATCTTTCCAGAACCTCATCGAAATTCCTACCAGGTCGCCTTGCCAAGGAATTCTTACACAATCCTGGTAACAGCCCCATCATAAGTCCTCCCGACTTGATCTCTTCCGTCGCCGTGGGTACGTCGACACATGCCCTTGTGAATCTCGCCATATAATCTCGCAGCGACTCCCCCTTTCTCTGCTGCATGCCGATCAATGAAAGATAAGACTTCTTCTGGACTCTGACACTCGCGAATTGATTAAGGAAACTCGAACTGAAGCCGTCAAAATCCTGGATCGACCCTGCTGGCAATTGATGGAACCAGTCTTGAGCCGACCCGTTCAAAGTCGTCAGAAAAGCACGACACTGCACAAGATCACTATAGCGATGGAGTACCGCCGTGTTCTCAAAACTTCTCAGATGTCGAGATGGATCAGTCGACCCATCATACCATATGTTTAATTCCCTAAAACCCTGCAACAAGTCGGTCCTCAGAATGTGTTGTGAGAACGGGTGCTCCCTCGCACCCCTGCTCTTCTTTCCCCCTACTCGAGCTTGCAAATCGCGAACTTGGGCCATCAGCTGCTCCAACGTTTCATCTCTTGCTTGCGGGTTAACAGTTCTGATGGAGGACTCTTCCTCGTCCGCCCTCCTGTTATGTTGCTCGTTCGACTAAGCCTGCTGCTCCTGTTCCAGTCGACATTGTTGCTCGACCCGAGGCTGTTCCTCGACCCGTGGGTTCTACTCAACTCGAGGATTTTGCTCGACCCGCGGGTTTTTCTCGACTCGCATCATTTGTCTCATCTGGGTGGCCACAGCTTCTGCAATCATTTTTTGCATCTCACTTCTCGTCATTGTCAGTGTTTGTTCCTCGAATGGGGGTGGGGTTTGTGTTTGCTCCATCACTCCTTCAATTTTCTTTCCCTCACGTCGAGGCATATCCCTTAACTCTTTCTCTCCAACACCTGGATTAGGGTTCAATGTTTGACTTGTTCCTCCCTAGGTCAACACTTGGATCTTCACTCCAGGTGGGGTAATGGGTGTTTTTTCATCTAGATTCATTGTCCTCTAAACGGTGGTAATCCTAGCATCTGCATCATCGGCTTAGGGGTTGACATCGGTGGTGGTCTCCTGTCTGTCCAGGTTCCTCTAAGCTCCTCATTCAGATCTCTCTACAATCCTTCCTTGCTATCCATCTCAAACAGATCAAAACTAGGTGCAAAGCTCTTGTTTCCCTTAAGAACTCCCCACAGACGGCGCCAAAATGATGGGTCTACTTCTGGATCTGAAGTGAACCGGTGGTACTGAGCTCCGATCTGTCTGAATCGCCTTTGAACCGTTGCTAGATCGCGATAACACCTGCAAGAACTCAACGCCGGAAGTGTTTCCGGCGTAGAGCCTCCGCGCTCAAGTCAGTATGTGAAAGAGATGAAGAGGACTGCTCTGAGAAAGCAGCAGCAGGAGATGAAAGTGTATGGAATGAATGGAAGTTAGGGTTTAGGGTTACCTTTCTCCTTTATATAGGAGAAAACACTTACTTGAAGTACCCAAAATGCCCGGTCGACCCGCGTGAAGTGTCTGAAATACCTCGGATGGTTCGTCTTCCCTCCTTGCCTAGTCATCACAAGATTCATTCTTATCCATTAAATGATATGAGACTTCGAGAGATATTGTAGGAGTACTGGGTCGTCATTATGTTTTGGGCCTCGAGGCGCAAGGAGTCGACCTCGAGCACTGGAAGGTCGACTTAGTATCATTTGAGTCTTCGGAGGCTACACTTGTTCGTCTTCTTGGTGGAAGTCGACTTCGGGAGCCGACTTAGGGAAGTCGACTTAGGTTTCATCGACTTCAGTAGAACTGGCTTCTTCTTCGGGTTAATTCGGGGAATTGTCGATTATCGAGATGTCGACTTTGTGTATGTCGTTATGGAGACAGTTCAACTCGTCTGTCCGATCGAGTAATTAGCACTTGGACTGGTATATTATAATATGACTATCAGATTGTTATTCTTATTATTGTTATTTTTATTATTCAACATTAGCTAATTTTAAGAAACTTATTTTTTTCAATATATAATGGTTAAATTTTTATAACAAGATATATTTCATTGTAGCTATTTTTTTTTCGAAACGATAGATTTTATAGATGAAAGCACATACATACAACTAGAAATCAACTAGAATGAGCCGCAGCCATCTAGCCGAATTCTGGGAAGTCTACTTTCAGGGAAGCCTATACAAAATAGACATCAGAATTACGCTAACGCACCCACAATACAAATAGCCTAAACACTACCATATGAGAGAATCAAGCTTCAACAATGAAGAATAACACTCCCACAAGAGAGAATTGAGCTGCAAATATGAAGTAAAAAACTAAAACAACCTACAAAAGCAAAAGACACAAACAACACACAAAACATCGTAACACTAAGAATAAGTAACTATTTTTTTAGATATTAGTTTTCATAAATTCAATTAATATTATTATAAATATTAATATTTATAAATAATTCTCATATTATTATTTATATACAATACACTACACGGGATGAAATACTAGTTTCAAACTTTCAATTAAATTTCGAGTTAAAATAAATGAGTCAAATTCTCATTTATCAAAACCAGTTTTCATGGCCTACCAATCACCCTAATGATATCAAAATACACGATACCACCAATCGACAGGCGTTCACTTCCCAAAATTTTTGGTTAATTCCTTTGATTTCAATATTCTTCTGCTTTCCACCACCTATTCCATTTTGTTTTCCTCTAGCAATCAATACTCTTTGAAATTTGATTCTTGTACGAAAATGGAAAACCCCAACGGCAAGGCAGCTGCCGACACCACCACTGGCGCCGGCGCGGAAGGAAACCCTAGTAATGATGCCCCCCGCGTAGGAGACGGCGAGGATAATCGCCGGCGGCGAACTCCTTTTACGGACCTCAGTCAAGTCGATGCGGATCTTGCGCTTGCCCGTACTCTCCAAGAACAGGTGTTTTCTATATCCTCTTCTTTTCTTTCCTTTCTTTTCGTTCATCTTTTTTTTTTTTTTGTATGAACTTCAATTCTGATTATGGAAGTTTTTTCCTTCTTCTGGTAATTCTATGTAATCATGAGGTTGTTTGTCCGTCATTGAAGCGGAGGGTGTTGGAGCTGCAATATCCATTGGTCGCCTTCTGTGTTCTGTTTCACCTGGCTTCGAACATATATCTTAAAGTTGTTGACCGAAATATGTGATTACTTTCCTCTCCTTTTGTTCTAGTTTAAACATCCAGGCCTATCAATTAGTAACAAAATTCATGAAAATTGATGCAATTTAAATGCCTGATTGATGCTGTTTGTTTATTTCCTATATAGTCATAATATGCTTAGAGTTCGAGCTAGTATGCCTTTGGCTCTGTGCACCTAATATAACATGAAACTGGCTGCAATTTGTATGGTCCTTGAACAATGAAGTGTTGTAATATGTGTAGAATAAAAATAGTGAGGCATTTTGCCTAAATGATACAACAATAAATGGAGAAAATATCTTGGCAGGGATGGAAATACGTGTTTTACTTGGATATTACGGATATCCACGAAATAAAAAAAAATAGAAAATCACGGGAGAAGAAATATAGCGATGCCTGTGTACGACAGCAATGAATCAACTAAAGTTTCGGTATGGAGCTATAAGAAAGAGTAATTGAATTTGAAACTAGGTTGTGAAAGAACTAGTTAAGTTGATAATCATACTACTTTCCTGCTAGAAATGTCTAGAATTGAACATCTGAATAGACTAGTATTTTGCAAATTGCATTATAACAAATAGTTTTATTGACCCTGAAAAGGTATATGATGGTCAACCTGGTATAATATGGTTGATATTGGCTTGAAAGTAGTTTACTTGGATTTTATTAAAGATGTTTAACATATGTAACGAACCCCAATTGTGATTTCTAGTGAATTCCTAGTACTATTGGTTCACATCAGGGTCAGCATTGATCCTCACGGTTTCTCTTAGAGCAGAAAAATACTTAGCACTTACATAAAACCTTGCTTAATACATATTGTTTGCACATTATAGTTTAATTGTTGAGAGTATTAATTGAAAAATCAGAATCTCTAGATAAGCAGTGGCATCAAAAGTTTTGCCATAAATTGGATGAATTGATTGTGAATGACCGACCGCTTACACTAAAAGGAAACTTTATAAACATTCTATAGCACCTGCTATGCCTTAGGGAGCAGAATGTTCAGTGACTAAATGTGAACTTTGTAGCAGCGAACGAGTTTAGCGTAAATGAATTCTTTGGTTGGACCTGCAGATACTCTTAGGAAACCAAAAAATGGGGAAAAAATGCAGCAGGAAAATAGGTGAGGAAAGTTAAAGAAAATCAATTTAGGCGGTTTTCACAATTACACTGGAGGCCTTATGATATCACTGCAACTTGTAGAAAGTAGGGAATCAGTTCCTCTTGAAAGTCAGTTTATGTGTAGACATAAATGAACATACAGCGTTGACCAAATGAGATGGCATAATATGATCCTCTTGGATAACTTGCATGGAACAATGTTTTATTGTTGTTCTACGTATTTTGTCGAGAAATATTAATTTGTTTATCCCTTTCTCTTTTATTGGTGGAACAGGAAAGAGCTTATATGATGTTAAGAATGAATTCTGGTATTGGCAGTGATTACGAAAGTTGGGAAGCTGAGAGTTATGGGAATGAAGATGTTTTCGACAATGATGATTTTGAGGATGCCAGTGGAGAAGATTATGATGGTTCTGATGTGGAAGTTGATGATGAGACAGAAGATGCATTTGGTGTGCATGCTCCTGAAGCAGGAGATGAAAGTGGCAATGAAAATGCTGAATTAGATCCGTCGGCCTTTCCAAGTGACGAGGCCTATGCTAGAGCCTTGCAAGATGCTGAAGAGCGGGAACTGGCAGCTAGATTGCTAGCCCTGGCGGGGATCAATAACAGTGAGATTCTGATTGTACCTTACTTTAGCTCTGTTTAGAAAATCTCTCTTTTACGAGGTTTGTCAACATATGTGATTATTAAATTCTGTTTAATGATTTGCAGTGGTTGCTGAAGATGAAGATGAAGATGAAGGTGAAGATGAGGAAGAAGAGGAACATGATGGTAATCTTCAGGTATATCTGCTATGACTTTCCGTGCATCTCCTTCTTGAACGTTTTTATAATACTGGCATAGCGGATTGTTGGGACTCGAAAGCAACTTTCTGAGTTTGACCTTGTATTTTCTCAGTGGTGAACATCTTAAGAGTTTGATACTGGGAATTGGACTTTTACTAAATAGTTATTGGTTAAAAAAAACAATAAAATTGTCTAATCCACTGTAGAGATATAAGTTCTTATTGTTCCTATTTGCCTTTTCTAAATCTGTGTTTTAGAACACAATCTAAAACTCTCTTCATTAAACAACTCAAATGGAGGATCTAACTAGTCAAACCTCTAAATATGCCTCTTAATTTTAGCTCAAACCTCTTTACCAAACACAACCATTAACTCTGAGCATCTCTAAAGTTCGATTGTTGTAGTACAGGGTTTGTGTAGTGTTTGCTGGCTATTAGCGATAGCTGATTTAGCTACTTATATGTAAAAAATGACTAATAAGATATTGTTGTAAGTTATCGACTATATTTTTTTATTTGCTAATAATATTGATATATGTGGTGAATTTGGAAAATTTATAATAACATTTATAATATAAGGATAGCATTGTTTTATGATAATATTTAGTCATTATTTATGTATGCATGGTTGATTAATATATTATACTTTTAGGAGCATAAGAAAGTATAAATGAAAAAAAAAATGATTTTATTCTGTAGTGGTTCAACAAACTAAATAAAAAACAGAGTCGATTCAATGCATCCAACAAACTAGCAAATAGATTAAAAAAGAATTATAAAAAGGACAAAATGGAGGAGAAATAAAATAATTTATATTTCAAGTTTAACATATTTGATTACTTTTTCTTTTTTCATTTTATATTTATGGAAATCAATCATCTCTTCTCAGAATTCTCTCTTTTCAAAATGCTGGTATACCTAACTTTTCAAAATCAGTTTTTTAGACCCAATAAGCTAATTGAATCATCTATTTACCAAAAAATCAAGTTAGAGGTTTTGATAAGTCAATTCTATAATGCATCCGCAAACCATTAGGTTAGCCTCTGGAAACTGTTTTACCAAATTTTATTTGTTTCAACTTTTCTATGCATTTCCGAAGGACAATTTTCTGAATGCCCAAATCATGGCAGAATGGATGTTTATGAATGTGGCCGGAAGTATGAGCATTTGTTTGTGTGAGTGGTATATTACATATGTATTTGAGTTGGGTGACGATTTCTATCTGACAGTCGAATATACAAGTATTGACTCCAACTTTAGGACCAAAGTTTGATTATGGGTTTTGAATTCCTTTCTTACATTATTGTGTAGATTTTCTGACTAGTAGGTGATGATATAAAACATATCACCCTCAGGAACTTTGTTTAGCAAGGTAAACCATGTCAGTCCTTTGAGAGGCTGTTCATCACTTGGGATGTTGGGTACAAATGTAATTATAGAAATTTTTTGCATAAGTGAAGTAAGAATAAGATGGAAAGAATGCTGAAGCTCCCTACAAGCAGAAAATTGGTGAGGGGTAAATCGGCTCTAAATCTCATGTAGGGGAAAAAGTACAATCACTGTGCTGCATTAAGGAAGCTGTACATCAGTTTGTAGATCTATGTGCTGATATTTGCTGCCTGCTATATAATATAATGTAATATATATGTATCTTCTTGTATTTTATGAATCGGTTTGACTATTTTATCTCGTGCAATCAACTTCTTGGGTTGCATAATATTGTTGCTACTAAATGGGATTATTTTTACTCTGATTTTTTCTGACAATAATCCTGCTGTTGCCTTTTGTGAATTCTTACAAAGAAATTCATTTGTCAAATTCAAAAATAAAATCTGAACCTGACTTAGTATGTCTTCTTCACATTATTCATTTTCTGGAATAATTGTTGATTGTGATTAGACTTGTATGATTCTTGTTTTTATACAATAGTAATTCACCGTTTATATTTGTGAACACGTACTTTTTCCTGCCAATGTTAATAATCCTCAAGGACACATGGGAGGAGGTTGACCCAGACGAACTCTCATACGAGGTAAATTAGGATTCACAATCATGTTACTGTTCTTTAATGGCACATTTTACTGGAGTTTCATTGTTGATCTGATGTTGCAGGAGTTGATTGCACTTGGTGATGTTGTTGGAACCGAGAGTCGGGGCCTTTCTGAAGATACAATTGCTTCGCTGCCTTCCATAAAGTATCAATCACAAGGCACTCATGAAGGAAGTGATTCGTAAGTAAATATTGTATTTTATTTTTTAATTTTTTTGCCAAGCTATATTAGCCTTTATGTTTTTTTACTCCTTATGTGAGCCTTCGTTGTGTGTTTGCAAAATGTTTGATATCTTTCCCTTTTTGCCTTAGGTGTGTTATATGTAGGTTGGATTACGAGGATGGTGACACCTTGACTATTCTCTCTTGCAAGCATTCATATCATAAAGAGTGCATTAACAATTGGCTACAAATAAACAAGGTAAATTATTCTTCTCTAAATGAACCATGTTGTAATAACATAAAACAGATTCCGAGGATCTCCTATCATTCTTCCAATTGCGTTTATGGGAAGTTACTCTTGAGGGTATGTCTGTCGATAGAATGCTAGTGAGGCCAAATAAAGAACACAAATTCTTCTAATGTCATGTTTGTTTAGAAGAACTGCATACTTTTGCTATGAAATGTCATATTTTTGTTTGTTTTGTTTTTCTAGAGTATGACTCAGTTGGAAAGATGTATCTGTTAAACAATTTGGTTGCCTATTAGGTCTGTTGCTAGACAGTTCTCTTCAAATGAAACATTGGTATGTCGTTGCATTGACCGGTTAAGGAGGCATATATAGTTGACTTAATTGTTTTTTTGCCAAAACACATAAATAAAATAAAGATATAGAGGGATTAGAAAAAAAGACAACTGTTAGCTGAATTATTTTGTTAAATCCTTTACAAGGAGGCTGAAAATATGGAATGTATTTCTTTATTTGTACTTGCTACATGGTATTTTTTGGCCTTTCAATCTTTTGATGTTGTGCTTGGATGTCAGAAGTGAATGAATGATCTCGTGTGTGTAGGTTTGTCCTGTATGCAGTGCTGAAGTGTCAACTCCAGGGAGAATCTAGTGTACCTCAGCAAGCTAAAGATATCTGGCGTTCTGACGCAAAAAGAAGATTCTGTTATTGTTATGGCACTGTAATGTCCCATTCGCGAAATAAAGGACTAGACGAAAGAATTGTATCATTGCATGTTTCTGCCCGACTTAATCGTTATATATCAACCACAATTGAAGTTAGCTCATGTTCGTTTCACGTAATTGGACATTTTGAAAAATTCAGTGTTTGTGTGTGTATGAGCGTGGGTGGGTTGGCTTGTGGCACATGATTTTTATCCTTGGAAGGGAGAAAAGGAAAAGCTGAAAGAAAAGTAATTCTTGGTCTTTAAATAAATAAAAAAATAAAAATAAAAATCAATTACTATTGCAAAGTCATCTCCTAACTTTTGTTTCATTAGTTTAAAATTTTCGAGTAGTGAAACAAAAATCAAGCTTGTTAACTTTCAATACTACATTAATATTATACTTACTATTTCATTACTTCAAAATTAATTATAATAATTTGACATAATTTCACATAATAAACTATTTAAATTGTTTTAATGATGTATTATGTAGTTGCTACCTTTTGTATCATTTATTGTATGTGAAATGTGCATTTTATTGTTTTTTTTATAACATTTTAGTTAGTTTTAGAGTAATTAACTATAGTTTCCTTCAAAATAATACTTAGCTACCACTCTTAATTTAAGTTATAAATTTATTGACATTTATTTGTACATACTTTGTCAAAATAATATATCTCAAAATAAATTAATGTACTAACAAGACGGGCTGAGGCACGCACACATAACCTACCCCAATATTAATAAAACTTAAAAGAAAATTGTAGACTTGTGAAACTAGTGCGGTATTTGATATGAGATACGACGCCAGGTAAAGCAAACCTGATAAACCGACTGACCAGGTCGGGCGAACCAGCTGATGGAACAAGAGCACATGTAGGTCGAATGGAAGTTGAACTTCAGTGTTGTACAAGGAGTCTTCAGGTCAAGGAAGAAATTGGAGGTGTAAAGAGGCACCGACAGGTTGAGTTAGGGCCCTCAGATGGCCTGACCTATACTCGACCTTAAAGTATGAGCGGTCGTATGATCGACCAGAAGGACATGACACGTAAGTTCGGTATATGCGACATTCTACCTCGACGAGATTTGGGCCAGTCGCACGATTAGGCAGTCTAATAAGTTCTATTAATGTATAAGAAAGAATATTAACATGATAAGGACAACACGTGGATAGGGTCATGTGACATAATAGAATTGGACAGTTTAGGCAATACAGACGGACTATTCGGGCAGTCTGGGCAGCTCATTCAGGAAGTCTTGGCAATAAGGTAACATCCCCGTATAAATGAGATATGCCCTTTATAACATTACATTCTCTACACGATAACTATTCATCATCTTCTACATCTTGCTAACTTAAGCATCAGAGGTTTTTCATCGGAAAATGTTAGGCTCTACAATGATTTGTAATTTTGTTGTAATTTTTCTTTTTATTATTTGCTATTTCTGTAATAAGCTTGGAGAAGAAGAGATTATGGGAGAGTTGAGAAGAGAGAGAGATAGACGAGAGGAGAGAGAAAAAGAAATTCAGTTATGCCAAAAGTTCATTCCTCCTCGTCTGACAACACCCACATAACAATACTAGTGGGTCCCAATACAAACAAACAAACAATATATATATATATATATATATATATATATATATATATATTAATTATAGGGGGTGGACCAATCAGGCAACTCCTTAAAATGAGTACGTAAGACTCAATATTAGCCACTCATCTTGTCTAGATCAAGGATTTATGTTAATCAATTAAAATATACGTTAATTAAATAATAAAAATAATTATTAGTTGACTCCGGCGGTTGACTTCCGGCGTTGACTCCGTCGTTGACCCATTGACCATAATATGTATTGTGTATGAAGTAAATATGGTGAGACAAAGTTAGTGTAAATATGTTGCAAAGTTAGTTCTATCTTGTTGCAGGGTTAGTTGTTTTTATTTGCAATGTTTAGTTGTATTCAGTTTGCAAGGTTAGTTTTCTGTAGTTGCAAGGTTAGTTGTCTTTAGTTGCAAAGTTAGTTTCTTTAGTTGCAAGGTTAGTTCTGTCTAGTTCCAATGTTAGTTTTCTCTAGTTGCAAGGTTAGTTGTCTATAGTTACAAAGTTAGTTCTATCTTGTTGCAAGGTTACTTGTTTTTATTTGCAATGTTTAGTTGTATTCAGTTTGCAAGGTTAGTTGTCTGTTGTTGCAAGGTTAGTTGTCTTTAGTTGCAAGGTTAGTTGTCTTTAGTTGCAAGGTTAGTTGTATTTGGTTGCAAGGTTAGTTGTCTTTAGTTGCAAGGTTAGTTGTCTTTGATTGAAGGTTAGTTCTGTCTAGTTACAATGTTAGTTTTCTCTATTTGCAAGTAGTTGTCTGTAGTTGCAAAGTTAGTTCTATCTTGTTGCAGGGTTAGTTGTTTTTATTTGCAATGTTTAGTTGTATTCAGTTTGCAAGGTTAGTTGTCTGTAGTTGCAAGGTTAGTTGTCTTTAGTTGCAAGGTTAGTTGACTTTAATTATTCTTTCATATATGATGCATACTAAGGTCAAAGGGTCAACGTCGGAAGTCAACGGTCAACGTCGGAAGTCAATGATTCTCACCGGAAGTCAACGGTCAACGTCGGAGTCAAAAGTCAACGCCGGAGTCAACGGTCAATGGTCATAATAATATTTAAATAATTAAAAATAAAGAATTAAAAAAAAAAATAAAGAATTATTATTTAAATAAAGATCTAAATCTTCTGGCTAGGAATGAGTCTCACGTCCTCACTTTAAATAAGTAGATGTATTGGAACCAATCCCTATATATATATATATAGAAGTGTGCTCAAACAAGAATGAGTCATAGTGAAAGAAATAAGAATAATTGTGAACCACTGGATCTATTATATCATTGGTTAAGATGAAGTCAAAGATTAATAATTTTAGTCAAACTGGTAATGGCATAAATGTAATTAAATGGTCAAACTTGGTGAATTGTCTATCCCTAAGGGGAGGTATGTAATGATGCCATCCCACCAACTCTCCACATTCTCCTTATCTTTTCCCGATCGTGCTGCATCCTCCACGGCCACCAGATCCACACAACCGCCGCCACTCGTCACACCTCCGATCATAACCACCATCTCAGCTGCCGCACGATCCATTCTCCGGCGTCGGAAAGTGCTCCAAATCTATAACCGACGAAAAATCACCGTCGTCATCCGCCACCCCTCGCCGCCAACCGCCTTAGCATTACAGTTATCCACATGTCCGGTCGTCCGCCTTCCGGTGCCATCCTCCACCAGTCATCGGCCGCCGCCTCAACTTTCAAAATTTTTTGGAGTTCTGGTCGTCCGACGAAGCTCAACAAACCGGCAATATAGACTCCCCGTCAACCCAGGCCACAGTCAACCCCGTAGCCGCCCGCTGCGCCCACCTTGCGACGTCACTCAGATGGACGATCTCGCCGATGTAGACGATGCCAGTGAACTCATTCTCGGCACCTGGCGGCCGGCATGGACACAGCGGCGTATTTTGAGTTCTCTGTATTCCGGCGGCGACGCGGCGAGAGACTGGCGGCGGCGTGGCGAGAGGATGGCAGCGGCGCGACGAGAGGCTGGCGGCGGGCAGCGACGTCATTTGTGTGTGTGTGTGTGTGTGTGTGTGCGGCATACAGTGACTATATTTTGTTTTTATTTTTATTTTTATTTTTTGTGTGGGAACTTGTTATTAGAAATTAGACACTTGGACTTTGGTGCAATTATATAATTTACTATGTTGTATGGTAATATATGGTTGATTCTATTTTATTAAAAGTGCAATATAGTGCACATTAATAATGTGTAGATGCACAATATTGTGTATTCTCAAGCACATTATAAATCTAGTTATAATTTTACAAAGATACATAACTAATAATTGGTTCGTTCAACTGGTTCATAATTTTAAAAATTCAATTCAATTATTTTAGTCTGAACAAGTTTGGTTGTTATTGTGCAATTTGGTAGTAATTTATATGCACACTCGCGATACATAAAAAATATAATCGATTTGAAATTTATATGTCGGTTCGATAATGTGCAACCTGATGCTCACTAACGCGCAATCCGTCTAGCATTAGTGTGCATTCATTTTAGCATTATGCAGTCTATATTTTAGAAAGCGTTAATAGTGTGTATTTCAATCAATATTATTTTGCATTTATTATATTATTTATATAATAAAACATATATTTATTATCATGATTTTTATTTAATATTATATATTATTATTAGTTGAAAATAAATAATATACGTATATAGATAAAATATAAGGAATAATATTTTTATATAGTTTGGCCGATTCTCTTAGTTCTTTTTTTATAAATTTATTTATATCTTCTACAATAATTTGGTTGGTTAAAATTAATTTATTATTTATATTATAAAAATATATTTTATATTTAATATTCTTATTTAATACTTAGTATTATTTTTTATTTAAAATACATAAACTATATATGTATAAGGAATATATAAAAAATAATATGTTTTTATATATTTTCTGTACATTACAAATTGACCCAAGTACGAAATAGTAATATAGATAAATTTTTTTGAATTAACAAATTGACCCCAGGGTTTTATGTGTAATTATCAAAAACTCTTAAAATTGCAAAATGGTCCTTGTGATATATCGAATTTCCCAAATAAACTCCTCCACCCAAAACGTTTTTTCAGCTATCTCCCGACGACCGGCGACCGATCTCCCACCAAGCCCGAACACGACAATGAATTTAGACGGGTTTCCGCCCCTCATCAACGCCGGAGAATCGAGACACGTCGAGAAAAATAGAGCCGTCGTGGCCGCCGCGAAAGTGAGTGCAACCGAAGACAACTGTCGGCGGTCGGGAGAATGGAAAGGTGGGCTATGTTTTTTGGCGATAGATAGTCAAAACATGGAATGCTCGACTGCTGCAAGGGTGCTCCGTTGGCGGCGGGGATGCTCCGGTGTTGGTGGCGGAGCAGCAGGTCGCCGGCGGGAAAGTGACAGATGAATCGCCGACGTAGATAGAGATAGAGCGTTGGTGCTCCGATGGTGGCAGGGATGCTCCGACGGCGACTGAGATGCTCCGTTGGCGGCGGAGATGCTCAGGCGGAGGCAGTATTGCTGCGGCGGTGCTCCGACGATGACTGTCGTGACTGTGATTTGCGCGTCGTGTGTGTGTGTGCGTGCGGTGTGTGTATGTCGTGTGTGTGTTTCTGTGTGTGATTATTGTGTGTGCGTGAGATGTTACT